CGGGTGAACAAAGAGTGAATATATAGCGGGAGCGGGTGGGTGCGGAATAGAACCTTGCGGGAGCGGGACTAAAAAAACAGTCCCACACAGACCTCTACACCAGTCTCTCAAATGAATTCATGACCACAGACGTGAGAGCGACAGGTCTGTAGTCATTAAGTCCAGTGATTTTGGGCTTTTTGGGGACTGGAATGATGGTGGAGCGTTTGAAGCAGCAGGGAACTTCACACAGTTCCAGTGATCTGTTGAAGATCTGTGTGAAGATGAGGTAAGCATCCTCTTTGGCGTGACGAAGCTGTTTGAGTTTCCCAGTAAACCACGGTTTATCATTATTTAAATAAGAATGTCCTGGTAGGAATGCACATATCTTCACAGAAAATGATATATGATGTTACAGAATCCGTGAGCTCGTACAGATCGGTGGCAGCAGCTTCAAAAACACTCCAATCAGTGAGGTCGAAGCAGGCTTGTAAATCACTCTGCTTCATTAGTCCATCTTTTAACAGTCCTTAAAACAGGTTTAGCTGATTTCAGTTTCTGCCTGTAGGTCGGTATAAGATGAACCAAACAGTGATCAGAGAGCCCCAAAGCTGCTCGTGGGACAGAGTGATATGCATTCTTTATTGCTGTGTAACAGTGATCCAATATATTACTGTCTCTGGTGGGGCATGTAATGTGCTACTTGTATTTTGGCAGTTCACGGGAGAGATTTGCTTTATTAAAATCTCCAAGAAATATTAAAATAGAGTGTGGGTACCTTTGCTCCATTTGGTCCGGAGGCACGTACACATTCACGAGAATGAATGAGGAAAACTCCCGTGGCGAGTAGAACGGTTTACAGTTTATGAAGAGCACCTCTAAAGTAGGAGTTCACATTTTTTCCAGCATTGTTACATCTGAACACCATACTTTCGTTGATGTAGAAACACAATCCACCACCTCTGGTTTTCCCCGTTAACTCCGCGATGCGATCCGCTCTGAACAGCTGGTAGCCCGGCAGATGAAGCGCATTGTCCGGAATGGCTTCACTCAGTCAGGTTTCAGTGAAGCACAGCGCAGCAGAGTTTGAAAAGTCCTTGTTGGTGCGGGTGAGGAGAAGTTCATCCGTTTTGTTAGGAAGGGAACGGACATTCATGAGATGAATGCTTGGGAGCGCTGTTTGAAAGCCGTGCGCGTGGAGCTTAACCAGCATGCTTCCCTCTTCTGCGTCTGTACACGTCTGCGTCTGTTTGAACAACACAGCTGTACCACTGACTAGAATGTCCAACAAAACGTCAGAATAATCAAAAACCAGAGAAATATTGTCTGGGATGTGTTGCTTAATGTTAAGGAGTTCATCTCTGGCAAAACTTACAGAAGAAGAATGACAAATCAGAACAAACAAACAAAAACAGCAGAACGGTTGTGGAGCTCAGCGTCGTGGCTGCCATTTGCGGTGCCATCGTTTCATTAGATATAAGCAGCAGCTTCACGTGTGTGTGTGTGTGTGTGTGTGTGTGTGTGTGTGTGTGTGTGTGTGCAGTCGAGTGTATCAGATGAGCAAGATCTACCTGTTCGCGCCGTCCGCTGGACTCTACACCTGCCCGCTGGCCATGACGGACGGAGCTGCTAAAGTCATCGAGGTGAAGCACTCACTCATCCAGACAATCTCTAAACTAGGGCCCTATGATTTCTGCGATGCGGAAAACACGGATGGAATCACGAAATCCAGTTATAAAAACAGAATTTACTGTATAACGTGGAATGTCACGGAATATGCTAAATTTTGGATGAATTAATCAAAAGTAGGTCAGTACACTTGGGGTCATCGGATGCAAAATTCACTTTACATGTTGTTTCAACATAAATGTGTGTTGGAAGTGTGTGTACACATCCATCCTATAATGATAAAAATCCACCCAGTGGTTTTTTTAAAATGCCTATTTTAAAATCCCCTTTCTCAAACCAGGCTGTTCTGAGATTCCTGTCAGAATGACGTAGTTCTGCACAGGCCCCTCCCACGATAGTTGATTGACTCTAGCGTCTTACTTTAGACCCGCCCTGACTGAGCTGTCATCAGTCCGCCATTGTGTCGACTCTGGTGCAGGGGAAGACAAGAATGACTCCGATTAAGCGATTGAGGTTACATACATGAGCTGGATGTAAGAATGAATATAGCAGTCGTCATTTACTCCCGACATCTGAGCTGATGAAGACGCAGAAGATTAACGTTACTTTAGTTTTTGAAGGGAATGCGACGATCCCGATCTGCCTAAATGTGTCTATGTTCGCACGAATCATTCCTGATCCAGCTTCACCTCCAGAAGAAGGGAGTATAAGGTTTTTTATGAATCTTTGCAAATCACCTTTCCTAATAATGTGCTAGTTAGCAAGTTCCGCGCTAAAGTAAACAGTCTCAGAGAGCAGCTCATCACCCCAGGAAGAGAGGGGCGGGGCCAGCAGAGCTCATTAGCATTTAAAGGGACATGCACTAAAATGGCTCGATGTGAACAGAGCTGTTTTTGACAGGGTAAAAAGTGTGTTTTTTACTCTACCATTGAGAAATTTTAAGCAAAGTATGTTATAGACTTCTCATTAAGACCCTAAAGAATCATATCAACTTGTGGAAAATGGGCATCCGATGACCCCTTTAAATCAAAACGGACGAGTGTCTCTGAATATTAAGTCGCAAAAATAGTATTTAAATATGAATTCTGCATGTTATTTGTCTCTGTATGAATTAATGGTGCAGATGTGCAGTTTTGTTTACTACATACATACTGAAGCTACATACAGTATCTCACAGAAGTGAGTACACCCCTCACATTTTTGTAAATATTTTATTATATCTTTTCATGTGACAACACTGAAGAAATGACACTTTATTAATGTCTAAACCGTTGGCCACAAAAGTGAGTACACTCCTAAGTGAAAAGGTCCAAATTGGGATGGCTGTGTGTTGAGTTATTTTGAGGGGACAGCAAATTTACACTGTTATACAAGCTGTACACTCACTACTTTACATTGTAGCAAAGTGTAATTTCTTCAGTGTTGTCACATGAAAAGATATAATAAAATATTTACAAAAATGTGAGGGGTGTACTCACTTCTGTGAGATACTGTATATACTGATTTCACCGTCTGCCGTCTCAATATAATTAATTTATTTTTAATTTAACCATTATAACTGAGTCTAGAAAAATGAAAACGGAAAAAAAAAATGTAATTCAGAAAAATTAAAATGGAAAAAACAGACTTTAGAAAAATAATACGGAATTTGGGAAAAAATTAAACGGATTTCATAGGGCCCTACTAACCCTGACAGAAAGCTTACTGCCTTGTTACAGTCTGAAAAATACTTTATTCTGTTTTTACAAATGAGGATGTTCATGCTGACATTCAGGTCACGCAGTGCCACATCGATCTTCACATGACAGTCAGAGTTCATCAGACTTGAACTTTGAAGCTCAAAAGATTAGCATGAGCTTGTGTTTCCTGCGTTCACATACATATGAATGGACGTCAGTGGAATGAGAAGCACAGGTCTTTGTGCTTCACTGGTGTGTGTGTGTGTGTGTGCGCAGTCTTTAGGAGTGCCGGTCAGAGAAGCGTTCGAGCGTCTGACCACACGTGATGAGAAGAGGTTCTGGACGTCCGGACAGTGGATGACCGAGCGCAGGGGAGGATCTGACGTCTGTGAGGACACACACAGACTCACACACACACACACACTGGCACTCACACACACTCACACTCACACAGACTCACACACTCACACTCATTCACTCTCACACACACACACACACACACACACACACACTCTCACTCTCACACTCACACACACACTCACTCTCACTCTCACACTCACACACACACTCACTCTCACTCTCACACTCACACACACACTCACTCTCACTCTCACACTCACACACACACTCACTCTCACTCTCACACTCACACACACACTCACTCTCACTCTCACACTCACACACACACTCACTCTCACTCTCACACTCACACACACACTCACTCTCACTCTCACACTCACACACACACTCACTCTCACTCTCACACTCACACACACACTCACTCTCACTCTCACACTCACACACACACTCACTCTCACTCTCACACTCACACACACACTCACTCTCACTCTCACACTCACACACACACTCACTCTCACTCTCACACTCACACACACACTCACTCTCACTCTCACACTCACACACACACTCACTCTCACTCTCACACTCACACACACACTCACTCTCACTCTCACACTCACACACACACTCACTCTCACTCTCACACTCACACACACACTCACTCTCACTCTCACACTCACACACACACTCACTCTCACTCTCACACTCACACACACACTCACTCTCACTCTCACACTCACACACACACTCACTCTCACTCTCACACTCACACACACACTCACTCTCACTCTCACACTCACACACACACTCACTCTCACTCTCACACTCACACACACACTCACTCTCACTCTCACACTCACACACACACTCACTCTCACTCTCACACTCACACACACACTCACTCTCACTCTCACACTCACACACACACTCACTCTCACTCTCACACTCACACACACACTCACTCTCACTCTCACACTCACACACACACTCACTCTCACTCTCACACTCACACACACACTCACTCTCACTCTCACACTCACACACACACTCACTCTCACTCTCACACTCACACACACACTCACTCTCACTCTCACACTCACACACACACTCACTCTCACTCTCACACTCACACACACACTCACTCTCACTCTCACACTCACACACACACTCACTCTCACTCTCACACTCACACACACACTCACTCTCACTCTCACACTCACACACACACTCACTCTCACTCTCACACTCACACACACACTCACTCTCACTCTCACACTCACACACACACTCACTCTCACTCTCACACTCACACACACACTCACTCTCACTCTCACACTCACACACACACTCACTCTCACTCTCACACTCACACACACACTCACTCTCACTCTCACACTCACACACACACTCACTCTCACTCTCACACTCACACACACACTCACTCTCACTCTCACACTCACACACACACTCACTCTCACTCTCACACTCACACACACACTCACTCTCACTCTCACACTCACACACACACTCACTCTCACTCTCACACTCACACACACACTCACTCTCACTCTCACACTCACACACACACTCACTCTCACTCTCACACTCACACACACACTCACTCTCACTCTCACACTCACACACACACTCACTCTCACTCTCACACTCACACACACACTCACTCTCACTCTCACACTCACACACACACTCACTCTCACTCTCACACTCACACACACACTCACTCTCACTCTCACACTCACACACACACTCACTCTCACTCTCACACTCACACACACACTCACTCTCACTCTCACACTCACACACACACTCACTCTCACTCTCACACTCACACACACACTCACTCTCACTCTCACACTCACACACACACTCACTCTCACTCTCACACTCACACACACACTCACTCTCACTCTCACACTCACACACACACTCACTCTCACTCTCACACTCACACACACACTCACTCTCACTCTCACACTCACACACACACTCACTCTCACTCTCACACTCACACACACACTCACTCTCACTCTCACACTCACACACACACTCACTCTCACTCTCACACTCACACACACACTCACTCTCACTCTCACACTCACACACACACTCACTCTCACTCTCACACTCACACACACACTCACTCTCACTCTCACACTCACACACACACTCACTCTCACTCTCACACTCACACACACACTCACTCTCACTCTCACACTCACACACACACTCACTCTCACTCTCACACTCACACACACACTCACTCTCACTCTCACACTCACACACACACTCACTCTCACTCTCACACTCACACACACACTCACTCTCACTCTCACACTCACACACACACTCACTCTCACTCTCACACTCACACACACACTCACTCTCACTCTCACACTCACACACACACTCACTCTCACTCTCACACTCACACACACACTCACTCTCACTCTCACACTCACACACACACTCACTCTCACTCTCACACTCACACACACACTCACTCTCACTCTCACACTCACACACACACTCACTCTCACTCTCACACTCACACACACACTCACTCTCACTCTCACACTCACACACACACTCACTCTCACTCTCACACTCACACACACACTCACTCTCACTCTCACACTCACACACACACTCACTCTCACTCTCACACTCACACACACACTCACTCTCACTCTCACACTCACACACACACTCACTCTCACTCTCACACTCACACACACACTCACTCTCACTCTCACACTCACACACACACTCACTCTCACTCTCACACTCACACACACACTCACTCTCACTCTCACACTCACACACACACTCACTCTCACTCTCACACTCACACACACACTCACTCTCACTCTCACACTCACACACACACTCACTCTCACTCTCACACTCACACACACACTCACTCTCACTCTCACACTCACACACACACTCACTCTCACTCTCACACTCACACACACACTCACTCTCACTCTCACACTCACACACACACTCACTCTCACTCTCACACTCACACACACACTCACTCTCACTCTCACACTCACACACACACTCACTCTCACTCTCACACTCACACACACACTCACTCTCACTCTCACACTCACACACACACTCACTCTCACTCTCACACTCACACACACACTCACTCTCACTCTCACACTCACACACACACTCACTCTCACTCTCACACTCACACACACACTCACTCTCACTCTCACACTCACACACACACTCACTCTCACTCTCACACTCACACACACACTCACTCTCACTCTCACACTCACACACACACTCACTCTCACTCTCACACTCACACACACACTCACTCTCACTCTCACACTCACACACACACTCACTCTCACTCTCACACTCACACACACACTCACTCTCACTCTCACACTCACACACACACTCACTCTCACTCTCACACTCACACACACACTCACTCTCACTCTCACACTCACACACACACTCACTCTCACTCTCACACTCACACACACACTCACTCTCACTCTCACACTCACACACACACTCACTCTCACTCTCACACTCACACACACACTCACTCTCACTCTCACACTCACACACACACTCACTCTCACTCTCACACTCACACACACACTCACTCTCACTCTCACACTCACACACACACTCACTCTCACTCTCACACTCACACACACACTCACTCTCACTCTCACACTCACACACACACTCACTCTCACTCTCACACTCACACACACACTCACTCTCACTCTCACACTCACACACACACTCACTCTCACTCTCACACTCACACACACACTCACTCTCACTCTCACACTCACACACACACTCACTCTCACTCTCACACTCACACACACACTCACTCTCACTCTCACACTCACACACACACTCACTCTCACTCTCACACTCACACACACACTCACTCTCACTCTCACACTCACACACACACTCACTCTCACTCTCACACTCACACACACACTCACTCTCACTCTCACACTCACACACACACTCACTCTCACTCTCACACTCACACACACACTCACTCTCACTCTCACACTCACACACACACTCACTCTCACTCTCACACTCACACACACACTCACTCTCACTCTCACACTCACACACACACTCACTCTCACTCTCACACTCACACACACACTCACTCTCACTCTCACACTCACACACACACTCACTCTCACTCTCACACTCACACACACACTCACTCTCACTCTCACACTCACACACACACTCACTCTCACTCTCACACTCACACACACACTCACTCTCACTCTCACACTCACACACACACTCACTCTCACTCTCACACTCACACACACACTCACTCTCACTCTCACACTCACACACACACTCACTCTCACTCTCACACTCACACACACACTCACTCTCACTCTCACACTCACACACACACTCACTCTCACTCTCACACTCACACACACACTCACTCTCACTCTCACACTCACACACACACTCACTCTCACTCTCACACTCACACACACACTCACTCTCACTCTCACACTCACACACACACTCACTCTCACTCTCACACTCACACACACACTCACTCTCACTCTCACACTCACACACACACTCACTCTCACTCTCACACTCACACACACACTCACTCTCACTCTCACACTCACACACACACTCACTCTCACTCTCACACTCACACACACACTCACTCTCACTCTCACACTCACACACACACTCACTCTCACTCTCACACTCACACACACACTCACTCTCACTCTCACACTCACACACACACTCACTCTCACTCTCACACTCACACACACACTCACTCTCACTCTCACACTCACACACACACTCACTCTCACTCTCACACTCACACACACACTCACTCTCACTCTCACACTCACACACACACTCACACACGCACACACACACACACACACACACACTATCTCTCACACACACACACTCCCTCTCACACACACACACTCACACACACACACTCACTCACACACACTCTCTCTCTCACACACACACTCCCTCTCACACACACACACTCACACACACACACAGTCACAGACACACGCACTCTCTCTCACACACACACACACACACACACTCACTCACTCACTCTCACACACTCACACTCACTCACACACACTCTCTCTCTCACACACTCACTCACACACACTCACACACGTTTGTGATGCGGTTGCTGTGTGCGTGTCTCTGATGTGATGCTGTCGTTGTGTGTGACAGCGAGTGGTACGGAGACGGTTGCCAGGCGACAGCAGGATGGATGGTTCAAGCTATATGGCTTTAAGTGGTTCACGTCGGCCACAGACGCTGATATGACGCTGACTCTGGCTCGCATCACAGACCGGCACGGACGCAGCACAGCGGTACTGACACACACTCACAGCCGTGATGTCACATAATAATACTTCATAGCTTATGTTCACTACAGTCACATATCGTATATCCAAAGTCCTGTCATGAAACTCTGATGGCGCAGTCCGATAGGTCAAACTCAGTCTGACATAATGACATCATCACCACACGGCGCAGCTGATTGGTTCTCTTCTGTATCAGCAGCCAATGAGCTCGCTGCTCCACATTCAAATACTTGGCTAGTGTTTGCTTTAGCGGTTGCAGCGAACTTCAGAAACCCTCCACCTTCCCCAGCTCCACCTGTATAGATCTGCTACGAGGTGTTCATGTATACTATGGGGGTTATTCATGTATGTTATATGTATTGGCAGTCGCAGCAGCAGCAGATCTATTCCTCCAAGACCAAACACATTAACATTTTCATGTGTGTGTATATAGATTTATATTTATGTATATATTGGTTGGCAGGTCTGGAGTTTCATTCACACAGAAAACAGCTGTTTTAAATAGTAATTTCACATTTTTTACTGTGTTTTTGATAAAATTACACACATTCAACAAGATATCCAGTTGGAAATGTTGATGTTTCTGAAAGAAGTCTCTTCTGCTCACCAAGGCTGCATTTATTTGATCAAAAATACAGTAATATTTGTGTAATTTTATTACAATTTAAAACAGCTGTGTGAATGAAACTGCAGATACCAGACCTGACTCTTGACTTCAAAGTATGTTGGTGCGATTTGTCACTATAAATACGATATTTTTTTTTTTTCTGTTTTGCATTTAAATAATTACCGTGTGTTTTATTTCTTTGTTTGTGTGTCTGAGTCTGCGCGCTGAGATGGGGAAACACCTCCCTGCTATAACAAGCATTTCAACAGCAACACACGTCAAACATCTTCCCTAGTAATGACTTGTAATGAGAAGCGTTTCTTAACCTGCTGTCCAACAAAAGAGAATGTTGATTAGCAATGGATTATAAATATACTTAATTATTATGAAAATACCAGAGGTGGATTTAAGAACACAGGTAAACCATACATTGTTGCAGTCGAGTGTTTATTTTTTAAAGTTTCATGATTCAGTACATTTCTATCTTCTTTTTATTCAGTTACAGCCATAGCTGGATGCTTTTGTCCATATTAGGGATTTCCTGGAGCATCAGGACTTCTATTACTTCTGTGATGTATTTGTGGAGTTTCTGCGCGAGGCCGCCCTCTGGTGTCCAGTATGAATGAAACACACATTACATGTGTTTATACTCCTCAATTATGGCCTATCTATAAAAATAATACTTATCTTAAAATAAATTTGAAGTAGACATATGATAATCCATGTTTTTCTACAGTGTACAGAAGTGTACTGGAGTTTTTATTAAATTGTACTGGAGGTTTTTTTTAAATAGCATTTCAAATCACAAAATAAAATACTCTGATGTGCCAAGCCATCAGAACCAAACCAGAACCATGGTTAAAAAACAGAGGTATTTATTGAACTATGGTCCCGTCACACCGATGGTACTCAAAATACTTTTCCAAGGTTGGCAGATCTGAGATACTGATGTGATGCACTCTGTGTGTGTGTGTGTGTGTGTGTGTGTGTGTGTGTGTGTGTGTGTGTGTGTGTGTGTGTGTGTGTGTGTG